ATGAAAAAATAAATGCATTAGATATCCTTAGAAGTAATTATATAAATGAAACCAGTTCCGATTATAATGAATGTACTCAAGTGTCTATTGATAATACACCAACAAATACAGAGTGGAAGAGAGAAATTAAAAAAAAAATAGAATGGCAGGAACACAATACATTATAGGAACAAAAATTATAGGTCAAATAAAGTAATAAAAAAGGAAATACCAAAACCGGTAAATTCTGAAAAATGTAAATTCAAATATACTGTTCATTTTACTGAAGAAATGCGAATTGAAATATGTCGCCAATATTGGGATTTAGCCGATAATTCTCGCCAAAAATGTTATTTGACGTCAAGTGTTGTGGAAAATTCTATTAAACAATACAGACAAAGAACGAATGATCCTTTAAAACAAAAGACAAGAAATAGATCTTTTGAGTACAATTTAACAGATTTAAATGGGAATAAACATAAAGTTTGTCAAAAATACTTTTGTTCAACCTTACACATAACTTTTCCAGTGATAAAATTAGCTATGGAAAATTGTAATGAAACAAGAATGTTTGTTAGTATCGATGGACATTTAGGTAGAACCCTTCCAAATAAAACACCTAATATACTTGCTTGAGAAGTAAAAAATCTATTTCAATCTTTTCCAACAATGGAGTCTTATTATTGCCTCCGTGATACTTAAAAATTATATTTGTCGTCTGATTTGAATTTATCAATCATGTATAGACTTTATTGTAGTATTATGCCAGAACCGGTATCTAAAATCGTATATACTAGAGTATTTCACAAGTTTAATCCAGCTTTAACGTTTTATAAACCAAAAAAAGACTAGTGTACTAAATGTAATAATTATAATAACTGTTCTAAGACAAGCTGATTTGCAGCATTAATGATTGGTTCTTCTTTTTCATATTCGCCCATCCTTTTTTTTTTCTTACACGTTTATTTTCAAACTGGTCTTGAATATCACACATTTCTAAATCCTGTTTAATTTTTTCATCGTCAGTATTTTCAGTCTCTAGATGAATTAGGCATTTTGCCTTTTCTATGAACTTATCACATGTCATTTTTATATATTCCATATCTCGTTGGAGTTTCTTTATTTGTTCTAAAGTCCCTTCGACCGTTTGTTGAAATTTTAATAAATCTAAGCCACTTTTTTGTAAATATCTGGATAAAGAGCCTGTTATGGAAAATAAACATATGTGCAATGAGAATATTTTCATATTTCAATAATGAAGATAATATACCGTCAGCTTTAGATCTAATATATCAGGTTTAAAAATTTCATTATTGGATATTTTAGATAGAGCAATAATCAACTCGGTATACAAAACATCTTAAAATTTATCATAATTACCAAATATTCTTACAAAAATATGAATCCAATTTCACACATTTTTTTTCCACTCGATATTAATAATTTAATTTTTTTCCTATCTCTTTCAGCACCACTCTTTTTTATTATTATTATTCATTTCGAAAAGAAATATGAAATTAATAAGATATTTAAAACAAACCTTGTTAATACGTATGAAATATAAATATGTAGGTACTCCAGTAGTCCATCATATTGTATACTTAAGCGATTACTGTAACACTGTAAAAATATTTTGGTAATCTTGTTTTAGTATTTATAGTATTTATATACTATAATATAATTTATTAGATGAAGAGGACGCCACATCACCAAAAAAACACGTACAAAAACGTGTATATGCGTTTCAATATTACGGCTTATTGAGTGGTTTAAGAGAAAAAAACTTAGTTAATACGTCATACGCCCCAATAGTTATTTTTATATTTGATTGCTGTCTTATTCTTATTGAATCTTACTCGATTACCGGTACACCGATAAATCTCGATACTGTTTATGGTGATTATCAACTATCGACCATATTCATGGGTACGTAAGAATTAAATAGGTTTTTTATCCTTTCCTTATCAATTTTGACTTTCTAGTTGGTACTTTTTAGTGTTATACTTTTATATAAATTGTTTATTTTGGTGTATCACATTCAACGATACGTTTCAATGTATTTTAACAAAACGTACAGTTGAAGAAAATTTCGGAAAAGTGTGTATTAAATTAAAAGTTAAACGCACAACTTTCTCAAATTTCGTAGGCGTGTATGTATTCACAGCCTTAAACGAAACGAATAAAATCGATTTATAAAGTTTGTGGGAAAATATTAATTTTTAAAATGGACTTCTTAGTATTTGATTAATTCGAAAAATATCCGAAAAACTGACGTTTATATCTATCGTTCGGCGTTTATTGCGAGCAAAAAAAAAACTTATCCGCAAATCGTTTTTCGAACGAAATTTAGAAGTAAACTGAACGTTTCCGAATTTATAAATTGTTTGGGACATCGTTACTGTCTTTAATCATTTTAAATTATATTATTTTTTGAACGGTTTCCTGATATATTTAACTTCCACGGCTCAGCGTGTCGTAAATTACAGTAACAAGATTATATCTCTATTGTTTTGTGGGTTCATCCTTTATCAAAATGATTGTCGAGCACATACTATTTTACAGTGAAAATATTAAACAATATTTTGATCCACGATAAACTATTAAAGAACATCTTTTTTTTAGCTAATTGCTTCAGATACAATGATGGACGTTCAACTTAAATTTACATTCGCATGATGTATGTTTGTGTTTATTGTTAACAGTACCTAATGTGGGCTTTGAGGACGGAGTTTTTTAATACATTTTTTAATTTACTTGATACCTACTACCATATGTAGGTTGTAATTTAAATTTATCTTTATGAAGATTTGATTCACAGATAAATTAGTTTATGGTTAATAGAAACCAATAATTGTTGAACTGTTTTTATAAATATGCATACAGACATGTCCTACATCATGTACCAACACTAATTATTAACAATAATAATCGTTTGATTTAAATGTTTAGATTACATGAGTATAGGTGAAGTTTAAGGTATGATAAGTTTTGAGGTGATTTCGCTTAAGTGGAGTTTGAAAATGTGTGTGTGTTTACGTCGATGTTCTGCTGACAGGTAATTGAAAAACTTTGTGCCATTAGTTTTAAGATTTAATTATTACTAATACCCCTCGGAGTTGGAGAAGTACTGTCCCGGATATATTCAAAATGCGACGTAAAGTCGGTCGACCATAAACTATTAATACATTGTGAAATAGTCTTAAGCTTTCTATACACTATGTCTCTAAACCGTTAATAATACTGTTATACGATTGTCTGCACGATCGTAGACGCTTAAAACGGTAATACAGATAATTATATTAAATCGGTTTTCAGTGCACTTCGTCTTGTACAACGAATTATTATATTTATGATTATTCATAAACGAATATATAAAATTTAAGAGACAGATGAACGTCGAAGTTTGGCTGTAAGCCATTAGTTCAACAAGAAGATGCATACCTATATTTTATAAATTTGCGCCTGTAAAATGTATCGTCAACAACACTAGTTATTTAAATAAAAACTATTAATGGTTTCGGCAAACACTTTAGTAAAACAAACACCAATACTCTGCTAAAAAAATTCGAAAACACAATGTTAATTATTGCCACGTATTATACAAAATCATTGAGTGCGCTCTCGTCTTGTTGTAGCACTCGTATCCAATTCGACTAGGACTTTACGCGTAAATGCGAAATATTTTCGTGTGTAATTCAAATCCCGTAATAGAATTTATGTTACAATTAAAAAGTGGTGGTGTTATTATCGATTACAGAACTGTACATTATATAAATATATATAACTATATACGAGTATTATATATGCTATATAATATAGGTACGTCGAGTAAACTGTTTGTTATGGGAAATATTCTACTCAGTGCGATTTCGTTGTACAATCGTTTATCTGGTGTGCGTATAATAGTCGTAACTGCTATGGTCCACATTTCAAGAAGTGTATGTGTACAAATCAAATCACTGCTTTGGTACTTATGATAATTGTGTCATTATAGTAAAGCACAGTGAATCATTTAGGTTGGAAATTTGATATTATTGACAATGATATAAAAAATTTCTAAAAATTCTCGCATTAAAAATGTATTTAAATCTGTCCATATATGGTATGTATGAAGAAAATGAAATATTGGTAGTTTTAAACTTTAACGTCTTTTAAAAATACAGAATCATTGAGACAAATACATTCAGTATTATGTATAGAAAAGTTAACTGACGGACTGTAGTTTTTAGTATTGATTATTTGAAATTAATACTATCAATTAAAAATTATTAATTATAAATTAACTACTCAGACCATTAACGAAGTATCGGATCATTTATATATTATGTCTTTTATAATTGTTACCGGTATGGAAATTTAAGCATTGTAGAAACAGAAAAAAACAAAAATGTACACCATGTTGAAATCAATTAATGTTCAATTATTAACAACAGAAGAACATTTTGTTTAAGTGAATCGTGATTTGAAATAACCAACAATTTGATGAACTCTCATATTTCCTGATCTGCAGCAATCTCGAAACAATATTACAATCACGATATACCGTTAGGCATTTTGATTTTAGCAGCTTGGATCAATTTTAAACACACATTACGTGTGTGCAAAACACATTTTGTGTCAAGATTTTTCGATTTGTTGCAATAGACGCGTGTACAGAAACCGGGAGCAGAAAAAAAATTATCAGAGAATGTGAAGAAAGAAACGTGACAAACGAACGTCGAATATCATACATAGCATGTCGCTACCTTCAGGTGGCTAGGAAAGCGGATAGTTTCGGCCTTAGAAGCATATTTATACGTAACAGCAATCGAAACTGTGTGAGAGAGAGAGAGAGAGAGAGAGAGTGAGAAGGACCTGCTCGGAACCACCCGCTGCACAGGGTGGGCGCTCGTGTGTGTGTGTGTATTCGGGCAGAGGGGTGGACGTCTTCCTCGTCGGCGGCGGCGGCGGCGTTGGCGTTGTCGGCGATCCACTTGCCGTCCGCGCGTTTTCTTCCCCCGGGAAACAGTAGTGTAGCCGACAGCACCGCGGGCTGGACGTTTACTGAACGTGCGTTGTGTACTCCCCGATTTTTGGATTTCGGTTGTTTTTTTACACTCCACTCTATTTAATCCGTCTGTTTTTTTAATAAGTACTTTTTGGCTATTTATTTCCGTACAACTCGTCTGGGTCCGCCGCAGAGGACCGAACACCTGTGGTGTGTTTGACATTTAGCACTGCATACATGAATACATACATACACATATATATATGCGTATAAACACATATACATACATGCGTATATAAATATACGTACATATATCGGTCGTAGAGAACTGCTAACCCACTCCGATCGCAGTACAGGTATTTATTGTGTGCATATTAACAGTCATGTCATAAACCTGTAATTATTGCCCATGTGTTATAATATATTATGCGTTAACGATAGTAATATGCGAGATGGTGGGTTAATGCACTCGCGTAAAACCATATGCGTACAAGCTTAGACCGGTGAAAAAGGGTACGGGATGCTACATCGTCTTTGGGCAAATAACAGTTTTCGGGGTGAATTGAAAAAACAATTGTTATACGAATTATCATTATTAACAATTTTCATACGAATTATTGAAAAACAATAATTCATATGATATTACAATATTTTGCTTTTTAATTTAATGAAATCTTTGCGAAAAGGTATACAATTAGCTATAAGTTGATCTGAACGAAAATGTATAAGATTGGCAACTCTACCAAGTGTTTTTTAATTATGTAGTACTTACACGATGCAAAAACGTATTGGTTGTTTGTGAATACGTACATACATTTGATGAATATATAGGATAGCAACTGTTTTGTAGAAATATTATGACATTAAATTTAGATTGGTTGAATATTAAATTGGTATATTAACATTCAATGTTTGAGAAAAATATCCAATAATGATAGTTTTAGGTTTTAGGAGTCCACTGTGCCAGTCAAACCGCACCTGCATAATTTTATAATCATGTCCGAGTATATTTTCCGAGGGTATGTTTTTCACTCGAGACTATACTGCGCAATCATGAAAAAGCGATAATAGATGATTTGAGGAATTATACAAGCTTGCTTGAAAATGGCCAAATGTGTAGTTGTAAGATAAGCCATCGGAGACGGGGAACTATATATATATTATACCTGGTCTTTCGCGTTACAAAAGAAACCCTATTCACGTGAGTCGTTTCTCTTATTGCAGTGTACCTAATCATACAGGGATCGAGTTTAATATTAATCCGATCATTGGACTCGTGGTTAGAGAAAAAATATGTCATCGTCGCCCCCGCGGTAATCGAAAATTTAAAACGACGACGCTCATTTATGTATATATAGAATACAAATATCGTGTAATAATAATAATATAGTTTTGTCGATGATCGATCGCATCTGTATAGGAAATTCAATCCAACCACTGTGTTCCACATTTTCACGTTTTGGGTTTATTTTTATACTCTCCACACGTTGGAGGATGTGGTAGCAACGGTGGTGTACGTTGATTTACATTACGCAGTATATATTTACTGCACTCGTGTGCGGGATAACGCGTTAAGATTGATGTATGTGACTCGAACAATTGGGTTTTTCCTACGTACTTTTTTTTTTCTAGAAAGCGTTGCGATTAGTTACGGGCAAAACGGGGAAGTTTTTTCGAAACAAAAACTAATAAGAAAATGCTTGTCGTTCGTTTAAATGTTACCGTCCGCGTGTATCTGAGATAAATATTAACTCGAATTCGTAAATATTCACAACCAGCTAACCTACGAGTACGGAACATAAACACTTTTAAAACCGTGTTAGCCGTGTCGCGTCACGTCATGAACAATAATTCTCCGATTGGCTGGATCACAATTCGTTTTGTACGATATTATTGTGGCACACAAAATGAATTGTACATTACCGAAGTAACCCTACGCTACCCCAAAGTTGATTTGATTCATGTTCTGAATGGGTGATTATCTATTGTAAAACATTTTATGATAAGATGATTTAATTATTATGCGATTTTATAGCTAGCTTGTTAGTAAACAAAGAACACATTTGTGGTAGGTATGTATTAATATCACACCTGTAAAAAAATACGGTATAGTATGATCGACAACACGGTTATTAGCGTATGAACCCAGACCTTTGACTCGACACATATTACCGATTGTCATAACCTATGGCGTGTATTTCGAACTCGTTTTCGTGGGCGTTTTCGAATTATTTTTCTCTCCGTTCCAATTGTCATCGTTTCAATCTTGCACTTGGCGCACTCCATGTCCCACGTGCCAACGGTGTTCAAGTGTACCGACGTGACCGGCAACTGCGATGAACTTGCGGCACCCAACATAGGATCTCTCAAAGTCGTGAGCTATGCATCCGATAAATATCCTATCCATTTCTGACAAATAGATCCAGTCGCAAAACTGTTGTTATAGCCGCGAGATGTTTGTAGGAGAGGAATAATAATTTATTATGTTGTAATAATAAACTGAAGTTGGGTGAACATTTTTTGAGTTAAGGTTGTTATATTATTACCGAGCGTTTTATTTGCAGGAACTTCGAAAATCTGGTTTATATAAACCGGTGACACATGTGTTTTGTGAATCTAAAATATTAAATTGATTCAATTTTTCTTAAGGGTGTGAAATAAGAAGTAATATTGTTATGTTTTTCTGTTCAAATACTTTTTTTTTCAAACTCTCATCAGATTAAACACGTTTATGTACGTATAAAAAAATTACTAAAACCAATGTCAATTAGTCCTATGTGTGTATGTGTATAGTAGTTTTGTTCATGTTAATCACAATAATAAAACAATACGTTAATGTGTTAATTCGGAACAAAGTAAAAAATAAAAACGACACGAAGAGAGAAATAACATTGTAAGGGGTGTTCACAATGGCACTACTTCAAACATTTGTTGTCAAATGTGTTCTTAGGACAATGTAACGGACATAGCCTATGAAAATGATGACCTAGGATTATTATTAAGAATCCATTTGAACAATTGCAATAACAATGGGTACACACAACATAGAGAGCATTCTGTATCCAGTTCAGTTTATTACAATGTACGGTTTTAACGTGCGTTCTTCCCGTACCTCTTTTATCTATCTTGGTAACATTAATGTAGGTCATTACCTGCACGTGCTATATACTACGTTATTGGTTATTGTTTCCTTATTTTAATATTTATATCTGTTATTCACCTCTACATAGTCATTATGGCCAGTTCACATAAACCAAAAGATGATACGCCGGTTAAGAAGACTGACCAAGAATGTCAATGAACCCATTACTTTAAAAACTATTTGGTCTATATTACCGTATATCAACGATAAGGTAATCACTTATGATTCTGACTGACTTTAATAACATCAATGTCAAACTATCAAATCTCGAGTATAGTTTTAATGATTTTCAAAATTCATTGGGTTTGTTATCTTCCGAACTGTCTAAAGTTAAAAAACATATTGAGTTTCTCCTCAGAGATCCAGTTATTACGTAGTAAAATAAATCAGTTTAAACATGCTCAGTCATCCAATGTCGATTTAGTTAAAGAATCTCATGACAGATTATTAAAAGAAAAAAATTTGATTATTTTCAACATGCCTTATTCTGATACTGTAGTTTCTCTAGTAACTACTAGTTTAGTCAAAGAAATCTTTAAAGAATTACTTAACCCTATCTTAATGTCAAACGCTAAACATTTGAGTAAACCAAGTAATCACCCACGTCCTATTTTAATCCAATTAAATCCAACTCGGAGGTTCATTCTATACTGCGTGTCAACTCTAATCTTCGCAATAGTACTAGGTAAAAAAATGTGTCGATTTATACGGATATTACAATAATCCAAAGAAATCATGAAACCACTTTGCGCTCAACTCAAGGCTAATCGATATTTGGAAGACTCAAGCTGGTCCATTAAATATGTAACTGATATTCCCAAATTACTTCAAAAAAACTAATTTGTCACTCTAAAGCTGTTAATTTGTTAAATGATGTATATAATTGTAAAAATGTTTCTAATTGTAATAATGTTAATACGTTCTTGGGCATATATCAAAATATTAGAGGCTTCTGGACTAAACTTATTTTATTTAGTGCTAGCGTTCCGTGTTTAAACTACGACTTTTTTGCGTTAACTGAGACTTGATTATGTGATTCCATCCATGACAATGAGCTTAATTTTAATAATTATAATATTTTCCGTTTCGATCGTAATCACCATACAAATAAATACAAACGTGGTGGAGGAGTGGCTCTATGTATTCATAAATAAATTTTTGCTATTAAATTAAATACTCCTATTCTATGTCTTGAACACTTAATTGTAGAAGTCAAACTTAACCATAAGAGTAAAATTTTTCTAGTTATTTGGTTAGTTAATCCTCCGTTTAGTTTCTTATCTAGTTATGTAAGCCTCATTAATTCACTTGAATGGTTACAATCTACATTACCTAATGATCATAAAATATTTTTAATAGGTGATTTTAATTTGCCCTTAGTAACATTTATGTCTGATAATAATGGCCGTCATATAAATGGTGCTAATATAATTTTGTATAAAACCATACGAACTAGCAATTAGATTTAATTTAAAATGTACCTAACTAATACAATAGTATTCGAATGACATGAAGAACTTGTACCCACTGATATCTACCATCCAATTCTTGAGATTAGCTGCAAATATATGATGACATCTGATTCTTAAAGTGATGAAAGATATAAATATAATTTTAAGAGAGCAAATTTTAATTTATTAACTAACGCTCTATTTAACTGTGATTGGTCCAATGTTTACAGTTCAAATTGTGTTGATTTTGTCACCAATGAGTTTTATCGTATTCTATTATATGCCATCCATAATCATGTACCCAAATATATTTTTAGTAAACAAATATACTCAAACTGGTTTTCAAATGAACTTCGTAAAAACTTAAAAAAAAATTTTAGTTACTCATTAGAAATAAAAAGCTTCCGAATTGCATTCTAATTATGTAATTTTTTCTATCTTACGTAAACTATGTAAGCAATAATTTAATAATTGTCATTTGGTTCACCTTATTAATACACAAAAAAATCTTATCAGCAATCCAAAGTATTTCTGGAATTATGTTAATATGTCTAGAAATAATAATGATATATCGATTCCTATTCACCCTTCAGGAAAAACTTTTAATAAAGCATTGAATGAATGGTTTTCTTCTAAATATGAAAAATCTATTTCATTTAATAACTTTGTATTAAGTAATGTCATTGACTGTGTTAAAATTAATATATTAGATATTACTATCAGCGAAGTATTTGATTCCTTAAACTCGTTAAAATGCGCCTCT